AGAATACTACCAATAAGTCAGCCTCGGGGAGACCAGTAGTGGTTGGTGTTGAGGGACGCCCACAAAACCCCATTGTGAAAGTCTCAACAGCTAAGTGTGAAATGGCAAGCACACATAGCGTCTACGTGACAGGAAAGCTGGATGGCCAAAAGTGAAACTTTGCCATAGATTCTGCATCTTAGCAAACTCTTGTGAGTATCAAGGTGCTAGATCACAAAGGAGTACCAGAAGCCATACAGAAACTCTGTGGTGTGACAGGAAACTATGCAAGGTTGTGGGGACCAGCGTTGGTAACTATTGAGCTCATGAGCATGAAGGACAGACACAAAGTATACTTGGCTGACATTAAAGACCCATGTAAATTAGGGTTGGGCTACTTACTACCGAGGAAGTGTGTAGTTAACTTTGATAAAATGATGTTTTGGAACAACAAAGGCCAAATTCCGGTAAGTGTTAAAAGAGAGGTTAAACTAACCTAGGTGCCATCAAGCTGAAGTCAAAGTGACTGAAGGAGTTGATGATGGTGAAGTGGAACCAAATATAGATATTAAAGCAGAACAGGAGAAAGACCAAGATTTGAAGCCAATAATTGATTTCCTACAAGTAAGTGTTTTGCAGCCTGCTTGGGAGAAGGAGTCTAGCTTAAGCCCTGTGACAAAGAACTATTTGGCACAATGGGACCAGTTGAAGCTTGGAGATGGTATTCTTCTCTGGAGATGGGAAACTGCAGATAGGAAAGTGATGACCTGGCAAACAGCTATACCGAGAAAGTTACAGGAAGTTATGCTGTGTCAATCCCATGATAGTTTAACAGCAGGACATCTTGGAGTTAAGAAGACATTGAGTCACCTACGGCAGAGGTTTTACTGGATATGTATGAGTCAAGATGTGGAAGAATGATGCAGAACATGCAGTACATGTTGTGATAAAAGGGGACCAAATTTGGCGCACCAATGGAAAGAGTAGCCGTTGACGTTGCTGGTCCATTGCCTCAAACTCGTGATGGAAACAGGTACATTTGTGTTCTGATGGATTATTTCAGCAAGTGGCCTGAGGCATATGTAATACCAAATCAGGAAGCTACAACTGTAGCTTCGGCTATTAGTGATTTCTTCTTCAGGTTTGGTATACCATACGAACTGCATTCAGATCAAGGATCAAAGACCAGG